ATACCATTGAGTCTACCGTCGAACACATGACTAAGTATCTGATTGAAGCGGGAGACATTTTGAATGATGAGAATATTAGGGTCAAGTATTTCCCAAGTTCTCTTACAAAAAACGGTTTTACCTGGTTCACGACTTTACCTCCAAATTCAATTCACAATTGGGCCTAGTTAGAACGTCTATTTCATGAACAATTCTATATGGGACCGGCGAAGATTAGTTTGAAGGAATTGGCTAGTATAAAGCGAAAGTTTACTGAGCCAATTGATGATTATTTAAATAGATTTCGACTTCTCAAGGCAAGGTGTTTCGTGCAAATACCAGAGCATGAGTTAGTCGAAATGGCTGCTGGTGGCCTAGATTATTCCATCAGAAAGAAATTAGATACTCAGTACCTAAGGGATATGTCCCAGTTGGCCAATAGAGTTCGATAGTTTGAATGTTTAAGAGAAGAAAAAGTGAGGGTAAATAAGAATAAAAGGATAGCCTATGTCGAATTCAACGAAGACGGCGAAGGGTCGTGCAATAAGTCTATATGTTTCGACGAAAACGAAATAGATCTCACCGAATTAAAAAAAGGTTCACCCTATTCTTGCAAGGTTTTAACACCTTCAAATAGGAAGAACCCTACTGAGTCAAATAAGAATGATAAGTTCCCTAAGAGAACTTATACATTCGATGTCACCAAGTGTGATGAAATCTTCGATTTATTAGTTAAATATGGGAAAATGATAATACCTCCTGGTGCTAAGATACCCCATTTAGATCAAAGAAAGAAAAGAGGATTTTGAAAATACTATAATATTTGGGGTCATAAAACCTCTCAATGTTTTATTTTCAGGGATCTTGTGCAAAATGCTATCCTAGAAGGGAGATTTAAATTTGGAGAGAAGCTCAAAAGCCGGACAAAGGTGGATGTCGAGCCTCAACAAATCGCTTACATGCATTATACTGAGCCTAAAGAGGTTAACATGGTCGAGGTCACTCAGGGTCTCGATGGTGCTGTCAACATGAAGGAAGTGACTTCCTTAATTAAGTTGTTCTGGTTCGAGCCATTGAAGAACGTAGTTGAAATTTTTTGACAGATTTTGTTCAAGAAGCAACTGAAGGTTTCACCCAAGGGACTACTGATAGTTCCAACAGCGAAGTCGCTGATGATTTTGCCAAAGGAAACCGCTGATAGTTTCATTCTAATGGATAAGGCTGATGATGGCCTTCAGATGCAATTCTGCAAGTTAGACACCGCTGATGATGTCGACATGGACATTAACATGGTGGAGGTTTCACAGGAAACTCCAATGGAGGTCGACCGGGAGTGTCGGCAAGAGGAATACAACAAAGTAGACTACCCGAAGAAGAATGAAAGTGTTATAAACTTTCTTCACAGGTGCCAAAATAAAAAGTATGAGTTGATGTTGTGCCCCAGGTGCAGTGCGGTGTTTGACAAAAAAGCGGCATGCAACATAAAGGGTGTCAGAAAAGTAAAAGAGAGGCATGAGCAAAGGGCCTCTTACAACCAACGGGGTTTCGACCCACGAAGATCCGCTTATAGGAAGGATGAAACTAGGTTAAGGGTGCTTGGGGTTAGGCCATCCACATTCAAACCCACAGCAGAAACTTCCAAAGGAAGTTGCATAAGGCCAACTAAGGGCAAACAGCTGGGACAACAAAAGTGGCAAAATTTTGATGTTCGACAGAGGCTCATCAATAGCCTACCGTAAGGAGTTCGAGGCTTCGAAGAAGATGGCCTATGTTTCAGAAAATTACAAGGGAAAGAATCCAATGTCTTGATCTCAATGGAGAAGAGAACAATGTAGGAGAAAAGCCCAAAGGGAGGTTGAAGCTAAGCCTGAGACTAGCACTAACCTGACTTCTATGAAAGAAAAAGAAGAAGAGTTAAAGCCTTTTGACAAATTTCCCGTGGGGAGGAAACTATTTGATATCTAAGGAAAGAAGGCTAAAGAGAAGCACGATCAAGAAGAAGATGAAATGCTTACAGATAATTTTGACTCTGAGTCAGAGGATTCTTTAGATATCATAGTAAACATAATATCAGTTCTACCCAGGGAATTCGACCAAATCACTGAGGTCGAAGATCTAGATATGTATACGGAAGCGGAAATGGAGGCACACAAACCAATGTGCCTCTATTTATCACAAGAAAGGTGGAGAATGTCGCAGCCAACAAAATTTTAGCGGACTGTGGCACCACAGTGAATCTAATGTCGCACTTCATGCTAAGAAGAATCGGCAAGTACGACATAGATACCAAACCTTATAATATGGTACTATCCAATTATAAGGGAAAGGTGGGCACCACTCTGGGAGTGATACAAGTTGATTTGACGGTGGGGACTATTACAACGCCTGCTGTTTTTATAGTTGTCGAGACGAAGGCCAACTACAACTTGTTGTTGGGTCGAGAATGGATATATAGAGTCGGGGATGTGTCATCTTCCATGCACCAGAGAATCACGATATGAAGACCAGATGGTATCATCGAAAATATTGAAGACGATCATGGTTATTTTAAAGCTCTATTCAACCATGTCGACAGGCGTAGTTTCAACAAACATTTGGCCAATATTTCTCCCTACAATCCGGCCAATTTTGCTTTCACCCCAAACGAAGATGTTTATTGTTCATTGTATCTGCATCCTGTTTAGGGCTTTCTATAGGACAGAGAAGTGGTAGGAGATGACAGCCTGACATACATTGATGTGTATGGGATAACCCCAACAGTTTAGGGAAGCGAATTCAGTGATGATGACTGAATTCGAAGTACTAAAAAGGATTTCGGCTTACATAGCCGAAAGTAAGTTACAAACGGCCTTAGAGGCTGAAATGGAAAACGTGGTTGTAGAAGCCAACCAAGATTCACACCAAGAAGGTCCTGGTAAGGACTTCGATCCAGAACCTCCTAATAGGATTCAGGAAGAACAATAAAGACTCGATGCAATTTATGATGAGGAGTCTTTGGGTTTCGAGAAGGATCCGTTGGCATCCAACATTAAGATGCTAGCGCAAGATCCACTGCAAGAGATCGACCAGGGAGAAGGGGAAACAACAAGGCCAACATATATAAGTGACAACATTAGTGCACAACTCGGGGTCAAAGTAATCCAACTACTAAAGGAGTTTAAAGACTTTTTTGCGTGGGATTACGACGAGATGCCTGGTTTAAGAAGGGATTTGGTCGAACTAAAGTTGCCAATAATGCCTAGAAAGAAGCCTATCAAGCAGAAACTAAGACAATTAGCACCGGAAGTCCTATCGAAGATTAAAGAAGAGGTCAAAAGGCTTCTCCGATGTAACTTCATTCGCACAACCAGGTATGTTGAATGGTTAGAAAATATTGTACCTGTTATTAAAAAGAATGGGTCTTCAAGAGTGTGCATATATTTTAGAGATTTAAATGCTGTAACTCCAAAAGAAGAATATTCAATGCCTTCGGTAGAAATGTTAGTCGATTCTGCCGCAGGCCACGAATACCTTAGCATGCTTGATGGGTATTCTGGATATAATCAAATATTTATTGCTGAAGAGGATGTCTCGAAGACAGCTCTTCGATGCCCTGGAGCCTTAGGCACTTACGAATGGGTAGTATTGCCTTTTGGTTTAAAGAATGTTGGGGCAACGTATCAGAGGGTGATGAATTCGATCTTCTATGATTATATAGAGACTTTTATGCAAATATACATTGATGATATTGTTGTTAAGTCTGTTTTAAGGAAGAGTCATATTGACCATCTTTGACAATCTTTTGAAAGGATGAGAAGACATGGTCTGAAAATGAATCCCCTCAAATGTGCTTTCTGTGTGCAGGCAGAATATTTCTTAGGCTTTATGGTCCATAACAAAGGAATCAAAATAAACCAGAATAAGACCAAGGCCATAATGGAAGCGAAAGCGACATTGACAAAAAAGGAATTGTTGTCACTGTTGGGCAAGATTAACTTCTTGAGGAGGTTTATATCGAATCTCAGCAGAAAGACTCAAGCTTTCTTACCTCTCCTTCGACTCAACAAGGAAGGGTTCGAATGGGGGAAGATCCAGTAAGAAGCTTTCGACAAAATCAAGGATTACTTGAGTCATCCTCCGATTCTGTCGCCACCTTGTAGGAATAAAAAAGGTTGTACATATCTGCATCAGATAAAACTATAGGGAGGATGTTGGTTCAAGAGGACGAAAATGGTGTTGAAAGAGCCATTTACTACCTTAGTAGAGTTTTAAATGATGCAGAAACTATGTATAGCATAGTTGAAAAATCGTGTTTATGCTTGTATTTCTCTTGTACAAAGTTGAAGCATTATATAAAACCAGTTGATGTTTATGTTTTGTCTCATTTCGATATCATTAAACATATGTTGTCTAAACCAATTTTACATAGTCGAGTTGGTAAATGGGCGTTAGCTTTGACTGAATATTCCTTAGCATATATGCCTTTAAAGGCTTTGAAAGGACAAGTGGTACCAGACTTTATAGTCTACCACTCAATAAATGAAAGTAATATAACCTATCTCGAACTCGAGCCTTGGAAATTATATTTAAATGGCTCTAGTCATAGAGATGGAATTTTTTTACGGACGACGCGTCTATGTGCTATTGTGCTTATGTTGCTACTATACCAGCTTTCAAATTGCATTTTATAAGGGGTATGTGATTTATAAATATAGCCAACAAATGTAAGTGTAGGTTCATATTGCTCATATACGATGGTACGAATCTGTGTCTCACTATCTTTTTTTTTTATTTCGCAATGCTGACTTTTAGTTATCTTCTCCAGGCTAGGAAAGCTCTACGACGAATGAAAGGTTTCACAAAACTGAAGAATTTAACACAAGGCTACTCTATTCAAAAGCAAGCCAGTACAACTATAACATACCTTCATTCATGGAGCAAAATTCAGGGTGAGATTAGAGCTTGTCGAATCTGTATGGTGACAGAAGACAAGATCAGGAGGAAGAAACAAGAGTCTCAACTAAAACTCGAAGAAAAGCTCCATGATTTCGAGGTAATCTTTAGCTTGTACTAATTTTCTTTATATTTGTTTCCCTGGTCCTTTCAACATTGCTAATAGTCCTTTCAATGGTCCTCCCCGACTCAAAGGATTAGTCTCTGCGATTGCTCGCAGAGGATACTCGGTTTCTATCAAGAAAAAAAAGTCCTTTCCTCCAATAAGGTTCGCTTTTTATCTTTCTATAAAACTATATACCAGCTCGACCATAGTTCAATTACAGTCGGACCATCAAACCGTTTTCAATGACTGATCTGGTTTTAAAAACATTGGGTTGAATAATTTTGCAAGATGTGTTAGTTTGTTCCTTTTAATGCAGTTCCATTAATCTCGTTTTGAGCTCTATGTATAATAAATGACAGGTTGAATGGTCCGGCGGCCTTAAAACTGCAGAGGAAACCCTCTGTAGTATTCATCAGAGAGGAGACATCAACATCTAAAACTCTGGTATCGGTAGCGTCTCCTTCCTCCAATGCAAAAGGGACTCCTCCTCTTAAAGGGAGTACCAAAGCTAGAAGATTGTCTTTTCCAATCACAGAGAAAGAGAAAACTGTGGTTGAAGGAGGAGTAAAGTGAGTATTCAACAATGGTTCCTAAGAAGAAAAGCTTAATTTTTCAAGTATAAAGCCTTTTGTATAATTTGAGGTCACTTTATTTATTCATTGTATTGCTTGGTGTGATTTGTTGACTGATTCTGTTACTTTTTTCTTCACATTTTGTCGATCTTGTATATTCAAAGAAGAGACAGAGTAAATTATAGATATAGAACAATATCTATTTTTTACCTTATTATAAAATTTCTAAATGTGATCATGTTTATTTCGTAATGATTTATTTGTACTTACACCTCAGTTACACCTAGGGGTGGTAAAATGGATGGATTAGATGGATATGGATTGGATTGTTAATGGATGGATTAAAACAATCCATTAGTCCATTAACAATCCACTAATTTTTTTAAAAATTATCCAATCCAATTCATCCATTAAGAATAAAATCCTTACAATCCATCCATTAACATATTTTTAATGGATGAATATCCATCCATCCAATTTTTTTTTTTATTTTGAAAAATAAATGTATTTTTGTATTTACAAAAATCAATTTTATTTTATTTTTGAAAATTTTATTTTTTTTTAATGTATTTATGAAAAAATTGATTTTTTTAAAAAAATCATTTTTTTATTTTTAAGAAAAAAATTGATATTTTAATTTTTGAAAATATCGATTTTTTTTTGGAAAAAAAAATTGATTTTTTTTTGGAAAAATTTTGATTTTTTTACTGAAAAAAAAAAACTAAATTATTTTCTTTTAAAAAATATATTTTTAATTATTTAAAAATAAATAAATCTAAAGAAAATAAGAATAATCCAATGGATCCTTAAAATATGTTGGATGGATCGAATCCATCCAATCATATAAATGGATGGATTTAATCCAATCCATTAACTTATTTTTTATGTGGTAGATGAATTGGATGAATTTTTTGATGGATGAATTTTTTGATGGATGAATTGGATGGATTTCGTATTAATGGATCAAATTGCCACCTCTAGTTACACATCTAATTTTCCAATATTCATTCAACACGTAATTTCTCTATATATCTCTACTCTCTTGTTAGAACATATTATAGTTATTTTTTGAACTTATAGTTTGTACTTATAGTTTGACTCTGTTAAGTCTTATCATACTTGTTAAAGAAAATGGGATTGTAGATTTTGTGTTTGATTATAGAGCTTTGAATAAGACAATTATTTCTAAAAAGTTTCACATTTCAATTATTGATGAGTTATTGGATGAATTGGGAGGAACAACCATATTTTCTAAATTGGACCTAAAATCAAGTTATCGCCAAATTCGATGAATGAGAAAGACAAAAAATTGATTCATTGCAATCAATTTTTTGACACCGTCACACAATCAATTGATTGATAACTATTTGTTCAAGAAGTTGTACGGTTGCACGGATTCCCTCCCACCGTTGTTTCTGACCGTGAGAAACTCTTTTTAAGTATTTTTGGACTGAATTATTCAAATTAGCAGGAATCAAACTCAAGTTCAGTACTATTGTTGGTGGAAATTTTCTCATACAAGTGAATTTCCATAAATTAAAATGTTCAAATTGCAGGTGAAGGTCAGTTAGGGGAAATGTTACATACATGTTCAATGGTAGCATTGAGAAAAGGAAAAGAACAAAGTATTACAAATACATCAGAGTAAGCTGATATAACCATGTCAATTTTTTATTCATACATAATATTTTCCAGAACATGATTTCTTACCATATTTCAGAATTTTAAAAGAAAAGGAATGAGCTTAGATACATACATTGTAGTAAAAATCGAGAGTGCGCACAAGATCATGAGGGGGTTGAAAAATTGTAACTTGAGGATTGTAGCACAGATTGTAATATCTTGCAACACCTGATCCCATGTGTGTCGCCGCGTAGAGGAGCTTCAAACATCGCAGGATCATCTGATGTTACTTGGAGACATACGAATCCTGCTAATATCGCCATCCCTATGGAAAACTGAGTAATATAGTTAAACTACTTATGACTAACTAATAACTATAAGAGCATAAACTTTTGAATCCTGACTAGAACAAGTCAGACCTTACTAATCTTTTGGCAAAACTGTTAGACTCTGTCAATAGAGAAAGACAAAATAAACCATTTTATCTCTAATCAACATAGAAGGGTTCCTAATTCACAAGTAGCAAAGTCTTCACTGCAAATTTTAATACGAAAAGAACTGCATAACCAATAAACCAACACAACAATAATAACGATAAATGCATGACTGATTCATTGAAAGGCAACAAGCATGAGGTTATCAGGTGCTAAGGATAACATTTTCTTAATCGATATCATATACCGTATCAACCTTAAATTAGCATTGGCATAATATCGTAAGTTGAGCTTGTTGCTAAGAGCTTTAATTTAGCGACTCTGTCATAAAGTTACAAGATAGATCAAGTGTTTTTCTGCTTTAAAGCAAACATATTTGCAGACAAATTTGATGAAAGAGTTTGATCCACAAACAATTATAATGCCAAAATGAACATATCAACACATGATAGTGAGACCATTGAGTAGTCCACCTTCTTTTGTGTATGTAACTATCAACAAAGTAAATAAATCATAAAGATTACATAGCACTCATGAAAATAACCAATTATATAATGAGAAATTATCTAACCTAGAATTACTCTTATAGTAGACCTCTTGCAATCATTTCACGAAGAAGTTTCTCCGCCTTTTCATTCTTACTTTTATGAAAGAGAACTTGGATGATAGTTTGATACGTTACAGCATCAGGAATGATACCATTGTCCTCCATTGTTGACAACAAGGCCTCTGATTCATCAAACAAACCCTCTTTAGAAAATCCATTGATCATAATATTATATGTTTGGATATTTAGACTATAACCCTTAGTCAAAAGATCCTTAAAAATATTATGTGCATTTTTAAGTAGTCCCCCTTTGCATAGTCCGTCGATAAGTATATTGTACGTGAACATATCTGGTACAATGCCAAGGTCTTTGATTTTTTTGACTAATGCAATAGCCTTGTCAACAAGATGGTTTTTGAATAAAGCGTTTATTAAAGAATTGTAAGTGAATATATCAGCTGGTTGACCATTATGATGCATCTCATCAACAAGCTTCCAAGCATGTGAGATTCTCCCTGATTTGCACAAACCATCAATAAGAGAACTGTAAGTCACCGTGTTAGGAGCAATTCCTTTGCAACACATTTCATTAAAGAGACTCAAGGCTTCATTGACCATTTTCATCTTACAAAATCCATTAATCATGATATTATAGCTGCAAGCATTAGGTGTCACTCCCATTCGGGAAATAGTTCTCAACACATGTTCGGCCTTATTCACTTCCTTAACTAGACAATACCCATCCATTAATGAATTGTAAGCAACAATATTAGGTATTACACCTTCTTTCATCATCACAACTAATAGATTCTTAGCTTCTTTCACATTTCCTTCCTTACAAAGAGCATCGACCAATATATTAAAAGTATAAACATTCGGGTAGATGTTTTTCAACACCATTTCATTTAGAAGACTAGACGCTTGTTTCAATTGACCAACAATACAAAATCCATAGATTAGAGAAGTGAAAGTTACAACATTAGGAGAAATTCTCTTTGCAATCATTTCAAAATACAAGTCATAGGCATCGTTAACACATTTATCTTTACACAAACCATCAATAATTGTGTTATACATTACCTCATTAAGCCTGACCAATTTCCCTTCAATCTTTCTCAACATTTGCATGGCAGCCCTTGTTTCACCCATTTTACACAACCCATTAATCAAAGACCCATAACCAACTTGATCAAAATGAAATCCACACGCAACCACATAATCATGAAAGTGCAAAGCTTCACTGACCTTACCGTTAAGGCACATACCATTGACAAGTGTAGTCAAGGTAATGGTAGTCGGTTGATAACCCATTTTCAGAATCTTTCCCAACATAGAAAATGCAAAATTGATTTGACCTAGATGGGAGTAACAATTGATCAAGATGTTCAAAGTACCAATATTCGGAGTAATTCCATCGAATTCCAATCGGTTTGAAAGGGAAATAACAGTGGTGTAATGGTTCTTAGTCTTGGCAAGAAACCCTAAAATTTTGTTGAATTGAATGATGGATGGGGTAGGATGCATGTGAAGCAAGGTATGGAATGATGAAACGTCGTCATGAATGATATGGTTGGGAGTGAAATGATGCAGAGAGTGGGAAAAAGGGGTTAAGGATTTTGAGAGAAATTGAAATGAAATAGGAAAATTGGAGAGAGAAAATAAACTTAACCTTGAGAACGACATGGGAGAACGTTTTTGAGTTCAAAGATTTAAACAGTTGTGGGAAATTGTTGTTTTATTGTACCAATTTGTTGGAGAACCCGGTGCTGTTCATTTGAAACTTATTAGTGAATGAAGTTGTACATGAGTTCAAGACCATTCTTTACGCTATCTTTTATCCCTACACTGTTTTTTATTGTTCAATAATACGTAAAATAGTGAGATATTATAAAATTAAATATATTTTTTTTAAAATATATAAAAAAATTAATTTTATTTTATTTTTAAATTAAATAATACTGATATGAAATTGTGTGATTAATTAAATTCATAATTCTATTAACCAACATTTTACATATTATTAACCAACATTTTACATATTATTAACCAACTTTATTTACTGTTAAAAATTATTTTTAATTTTAGACGTTTATTAACCAATTTCATCACTTCATTAAGAACATGAGCATTGTTTATACATTGTTCATGATATTGTTCATACACTGTGTGACACTGTTCCGCACTGTTCATGTAATGTTCACCCGTATTGGTGAACAGTGCATACGGTGTAGTGTATGCTTTTGATGTCAACATAGCATTGCTGAAACCGCTATTAAGGTAGCCTTTCTCTTTGGAGTGTGTTTAAATGAGTTTACAAGTTTTGAAAATGGCAAGAGTGATATCATAAAGAATACCACACATGGTTTAGGTTTGCCTTCGATGGATATTATTCATATG